CGTCTCCCCGCCGCTGTGCAGCGAGCAGGGCCAGCGCAGCCTGGCACGGGTGTCACCACTGCCTGATGCCCGCCCGAGAACAGGAATATTTCACTAGCGGGAGCTGCAATCCCTGATTCTGAGTGAAGAAAAAAAGCGCATTTTAACTGAGATTCTCAAAGGATAACCATAGATTTAAGAGTTTTATTTCTGTACCCCAGTTTTTCCGTGAGCTAGCTGTGAAATCTTCTTCCCTCTTTACCTTCCAGCTTTTCAGCTTGTCTTTTAACTAACACTGGAATTTTTGGATGTGATGCACTGGAGAAAATACATTATTTAGCTCATAGTGAGGACTCCATGCTGAGTTTGTTCTGGAATGGGGTGTGAAGTATTTTTAAAGAACAGTAGCTGATTCAGAATGCTTTCTACAGAGACGCATTGTTCCACAGCAGCTATTCCAGATGATTTCTCTATAAAGAAAGTGTCAAAAGTCACTTGCCTTGTCCTGGGATTTCCTTTGCACCCCCTCTGCCAGCATTTCCCTCCGGGCTCTGCCAGCCTGATGAATCTGAGCTTATTTTGTGCATCAAAAGACCAGTCCTGAAAAACTACAGCTCCAACATGGCTATTTCAAGCCAGAGGTTTCAGGTGCCCCTAATTGCAATTGCAAGGAGGGAGAACGGGACGAGGCGCTCGGGGCAGGGGGCAGATAGAGGTGAGCGCTGCCGGCAGCGGATCCCCTCGGAAAAGACCCGGGGCGGGGGCATCCCCGGAGCGCGCGGAGCTGCGGGCGCGAGCGGAGCCCCTGGAGCGCTGCGCTTTGATGCACAAGCTGCTGGTTTTAGTACGCGCGCTGTTCGAGCGCGAGCCGCGGCAGCCTCGTCCTGCGCTGCCCGCGGCTCAGATGGGGTCAAGTCCCACTGCTGCGGCCGAGCCGAGCTGTAGGAATCCTCCCCCCGCGCAGCAGCCTCTGCGCTGCTCGCGCTGAACGTCCGCGCAGCTCCCGTGCAGAGAGCAAGACCCCCGGGCAGAAGCCGATCCCCTCCTGGGCGCTACCTGCCCGGTGTTCTGCGGGAGCAGCACCTGGAAGCCAAGGAAGGGCCATTTTAAAGGGCAGAGCTGTCTTTAAGATAGTTAATGCTCTTATACTTGCTTGGGCGTATATGCTCTTCAGTCCGCTGGAAGAATCTGTAAGCAGATAGTATCTGACAGGAGCGCTTTAAAGTCGTCTTCCCTCCTGGATTTGCCGATCCCTGGTCTCCATCCGCAAGACAGTGTGTGTTTGTGGATGAGCAGATGGTGCCTTGTGTTTAAAGCAAGTTTTTTTGATGGTTGTGCGGACAGCACAAGTTTTTTTTTTTTTTGTGTTACTTATCTGCTTCATAAAGAAATGATTTGCATTGCAGGGGCTTTCTGAACTCAAGAGTATTTCAAAGGGGCTGGAGGGGATTGCATTGTTTTGGAAACTCCATTGCCCCTCATCTATGCTACTCAATTGAGGTGTAAAAGAAAGGATAATTTATGATGCATAAATTAATTCTTATTCTTATCTCCCACTCATTAGCAAAAAATATTTAGAATGGATTTTTTTGCAGATAAAATAGCCTTTTCTATCTTTCCACAGAAACATGAAAATGCACTCTGTTTGCCATATTGCAATAGCAGAAAATCCTGTGCATTTATTTCTTCTGCTTTAAAATATATTTGCATACATCCCTATGTATATATATGCACACGCATGTGTACACAGCCCTAATCTCCATAGATTTAGATAACAAAAATAGCCTCCTTCCCTCAAGCCAAGCAATAACTGTCTCGGTGGTTTCCAAAGGACCGGGATCTGCCTTTCCATGCAGCCAGCACCGATTCCATGTCCCCCGAGCTGCTCCCGCGGGCACCGGTACCGCTGTCCTTCCCGCCCCGAGTGGCCCCTGCGCCCCAGGAATTCACCCGCTCGGAAGGATATTGGCCTTGTCAGCCCTGCGTGGGTGTCCCGTCCATGCAGACGTACGGGCTGTTTAATCATCACTGTCACTCGGTGCCACCGCGGGCTGGCCAGACGATCGTGAGATGCTTCATGCTAAACTGACCGAGTTCCTCTTTCACAGCTGTTTGATCCACATGATTTGTACACAGGAGAACAGTTCTCCAAGGTCCTGAGTACGTTAACAGCTATAAATAAAGCTACTGAAGGTAAGAAAAAGCTTTTTTTTCTATCTTCTTTTCAAGTGCTGTCTCTTACATAAGCTGTTTTTTTGTTTTTGTTTTTTTGATAATTCATAGTTTATAATGATCTTCTGTAGGCTTGGCTAATTGTCCTGCCAGTGCTATTTCCTGGACAGCAGAATCAGCATTTCATGTTTTTAACGCCTTTAGGTTTAAATGTGATATTTCAAAGCTGTATGTGCTTGACAAAGCTCATTTACTGCTTTATGCTAAGGGACCTCTGGACGGTTTTGACAGTATTAAGGAACCTCAAAGTAGGTCATTGCAAAGGAGCCTGCATATAAATGAGCATGCATCTCCCTAAATGCAAATATCTGATTTTAAATAGTACATTTTAAGGCTGAATAGAAAAATAGGTCCATCTGTGTGAAATCTCTACTACATGTCAAAGCACACATAGCCGCCAGATGCTCAGGCAACTGTATTGATATTTCTTCCTCTCCTCTCCCTCGCACTGCAGAGCGGATTCGCATAATTGGAAATCAAATGCTGACAACTGCTGCTGCTGACTTGTCCTGCTCCACTTAGTGCGGAACAGGCTGCCAAAACAAAGCACATCAGTCCCCTCCTTTTATTTTTCCCCCTTCCTAAACATTTAGCATTTCTGTACGTGCTGCTTCGTGCTCATGTTCAGTGAAACAGGCTTTGAAGGGGAAAGTTTGATAGGGAACAAAAAACAGATTTTCTGTTTTTTTTTTTTTATAGAGTTCCCTGCTTTTATAGTGACCTGAGGAAATCACAGCAATGTAGTGATCTGGGAAGGCTTGACAGGTCTGTGGTCTTTAATGGGGGACTGAAGAGCAGGTCCCCATTAATCTGAAACAAGTGTAGTGGGGGGGAGCATTTATGTCCCTCTGTCATACAAGCGGATTTACGTGAAGAGTCCTGTGTATCCACCAAAATCCAAGATCAGCATCAGAGCTCGAACAGAGCTGCTGTATATTGCATTTTCAGAGATTAAAAGTAGGAGAAATCACCCCCACCACCCTCAAACGCCATTTTTTTCTTTCATAGGAAAGATCTTCTCTTGGCTTACTGCATTTTCCCATTCTTGGTTTGTAGCTGTTTTCTCGGTCATTTCACTTCTTTGTTTTTTAGTTAGCTTTTGCTTTTGGATTCTCTTCTGCTGGCAGAAAGCTGCTCAGCTGTTCAATTATTCTTATTACTGGAACTGAATCCCCTTCCCTTTTTTCTCTTTTCTCTTCTGGTGTTTTGTAACATCTCATACATATGTGTGCATTTATGTAATGCAAAATATAGTACATATGTGTATACTCACACACACCTGAGAGTTGCTGAATTCTGCAGTAAGGAAATGCAGGCTCTGAGATCTGAGAAGGCTGTGATGGGAGTTCAGCCCCAGCACTTCTCCTTGGTCCATTAAATGACAATTCCCAGCGAACCGATTCAGAAGATCCTTGAAGTTCAGTGGGATGGGGTTGTAAAATGCAGGTTACCTAGACAGCCATTGCAAACGATGTAATTATGATATTAGCCTCATTATTATGAAAGTGAAAGGGGTAGGAGGCCGATGGGGTGGCAGGTGCCGTTGCTGAAGGAGTCCCCTGTTAACAGGGGACTGTTTCCTGCAGAAATCTGTGTTTCCCAGCTCAGTTTGGCAAGCACTGCACGAGGCTCAAGACACGGCTTTACTGCGCGATACTTTCTATCGCACATTACCGAAGGGGCTACAGGAAAGCTGGGATCCTCCTGGTTTCATGGCAAACATCTGCTTAAACATATGCTTGCTCTGTTTAAATGTTAAAAAGCGCAAAGCCCGCGATATAATTAGCTGCTCAGACAGAGAGCACCCTTGGGGAAAGTACAGGGTAAAAAAACTGCATGTCTGGAGCGCTTGCCTTTTTGGTGGCTTGGCCAAGTTCCTGAGAAGCAGGAGCCTGTGTCCTACAAACCACAGCTGCAGCTGGCCCAGCTTGTCCCTCCCACCAGCGAGGCCAAGGGCTGAAGGCAGGGTCGGGATCAAACTTCCTCCTCTTCCCTTCTCCGCCTGTGCCCTGAGCAGGCTGAGCTGGGGGAGCAGGACCGGGCAGGGAAGCTGGTCCCAGTGGTGCTTGGCTGCCTGTTCCCTGCAGTGATCCCTCTGCTTCCCCGTGGTGCTGCCCCTCCGCAGGAGGGATTGCGAGCCTGTTCCCAGCTGCTTCCAGCCCCATAGCCCGCGGGCTGTGGCACAGCCCCTACCTCTGGTGCCGCAGCATCCTGACGCCCTCGTGGGAGGCAGAGACAAGTAGGTGACAGCTTAGGAAGTCAAGTGACAGTGTCTTTCTGAGGATCCATTTGAAGCCTAAATCCTTGTGTCTTCATGGATCCTGTTATGGACATAACTGGAAGCGTGTTTTGTATAAACTCAGAGCAGCAGCTGTCTGTCAAACACCAGCAATGTAGAACTCGATGCTTTATCTGCAGGAGAGGGCAGGGGAGGAAACGCAGCCACCGTGGATGAGGCTGGGCTGATCTGCCTAAAATACTGTAAGAATATGAACAGAAAAAACAGCTATTTTAGCCATAGTTTAAACAACATATGGCAGCAGCCTTCTATGCTGGACCAGGCATAAAATAGGGCGCTGTCATGATGCAATATAAATGATACGGTTTGCTGCCAAACTGTCAAAGTCAGTTTTACATTTGTTTCTAGGTTGCTGCAGATATTTATAAAAGCTTTGGAAGAGAGGGAGGGGTGGGGAGAAGCATAAAATCTACAGTAACCAAGTCATTTCCGTGGGACTGTTGCTCGCCGCTTGAATAAGTGGAGAAGTCTAGACTCGCGGTTTACGCCCTCCCTTTTTAGAACAAATTGAGGGAAGAACATCTCAAACTGGCAGCTGTCCACCCCTCCTGGTCTGCGAGGCGCTGGGAACAGCTGAAACCACTCCCGCTCAAATAGCAGGATGCTTCAGAGGGGAAAAACTGTGTTTACAAAGTGGTTTTCCGTGCTGAGGGTTCTGCTCTTGCTGCCGCAGTGGGGAGAGCGGAGACTTCGCTGCGTGGTCATCGGGCAGTTGTGTAACAAGGCAAGAGGCCGAACTGAGTCACCGACAGCACCCGCGTTTAGCACGGGTGTTGTCCCTCATCCCGGCAGGCCGGGGCCGCGGGGGATGCTGGTTTGCCAGGCAGCAGTGCCTGGCAGTCGCAGGCCTCGTGTGTCCTTGTTGTGCAAGGCGTTGGAGAGGGCAGAGCAAAAGGCAGCCCCCCTCCAAAGGAACCGCGGTTTGTGTTGCTCCTGGTCCAGTGCAAGGCCGAGATGTTTTTCTATTTAAGCAACAATTCTCTGGGGAGAAGAAAGGGCCTGGCTGAGTTCCTGTAACTCCCACCAAACTTCCCTTTCGGGATGTTTTTTTTTCCATATTAACGTTGAGACTGGAGGATAATGGGCACATGGCAGCCTTATGGTCTGTGTTTGCTAGTTCCTGCACACATATGTGGCAGCGGCTCCTCTGGAGAGAGCTTGGTCACCTTGTCCTGGTGCAAAACATTCACAGAAAGACCCTGTATTCTACAGGGGAGCTGCATGCCCAGGCTAGGGAAGCCAGTGGACTGCAGTCTCCTCTCCCCAGGCTTCCCAGGTGGTTCATAGGCAGAGTCCACTGCACAGATAGAAAGCAGATTCTTAGGAATACAGAAATGTTCCTAAATTTAAAAGGAAGGCACGGAGAATTCTAAATTAACCATGCACAACAGTTTACTGAAATGATAATAGTTGCCTTTGCTTTGTTTGTGCGTGATGGCACAGAGGATGGAGATGATTTGATTGCTTTTCCACGTTGTGGTATGAAAGGCAGTAGCAGAGAACTACTGGAAATTGCAGTGGCTTGAAACTTGTGTTTTTGCTGCTCTGCAGCATCCAAGCAGATTTCTGGGTTGAGTGGCAGGAGGTTCTGTAGTAGCTGATACTGCCCTTTGTGCTGAGGCCCCTGATAACAGTCTCAGCCCAAGGCAGTTGTGACTGGGAAGTTTTTTTAACCATCCAGCAAGTTTTTTCAGTAGCAACATAGAAACAAATAATTAATCGTGAAGCAGAAGTAAGTGTCAGAGCATCATCATCATCTCCAGCATCAGGCATGAGGGGTCAGGCTCGGTCCTTCCTGTGAGCTGCCACTCTCCTGAGGGTGACACTCTTGTCCTTCCTCCGTGTAATCTGCACCCGTTACTCGCATGGTTAATGGCAGCAGTCCATGAACAGTAATCAAAATTGCGCATAGCGTTTTCCAGCTGTATAATGAACCCAGGAGGACTCGTCTAAATAGGGAAGCAATTGTGTGGAGCAGCTGCTCAGCGCTCTTCCCGCGCTGCCAGGAAGCCCCCAGCAGCTGCAGTGGTGACCGAAGATGCTCACGTGTGAGCTAATCTTTGAAATACCTTCAGCAGTGCTAGCCTGGATGCCACCAACGTTGTCACTGGGGCAGCACTTGGCTCAGTGTGGGGTTAGTTAGACTGACATAGCCTAGGGGAGCCTTGAGATGCAGCTCAACTTACTCCGTCGTGGAAGAGAGTCAGCAAAACTGTCAGCTCTGCACAGCCGCCCTCCCTGCCCACGAGGGTGCCCACGTGGGAGGTGCACCAGCCGCTTTGCTCTGTTAGATGCTCCTGCAGCCGTTGTGCCGCTGTTGAGTCTGCTGAGCGTGGATGGTGGGGTGAAGCACAGCGGGTGAAACACGGGCTTTGTTTTTACCTCAGCAGACCAGCCGTCCAAAAGACCATGTTCTCAGCTCTCGTCCCATAGCTCCACAGCTGAAGATCCCCACGCTACCTCCAACGGCACAGCTTCACGGGCTGCAAGGGTGTTAAGGAGACAGTCCAAGGCTGTGGTAACCTTTATTTAAAATCTAATCAAGGGTTTGAGGGGTGTGGGTGGTGCCTGTGGGTCGAGCCTGCCAAAATGACCCTCTGCCCTGGGCTCCATCACAGCTTTGCTGCCCCAGCTGGAGGTTGTCCGTCAGCCTCTCCAAGCCTTGGTTCTCCTCTGTGAGATGAGGAGCACCATGCTTATCTGCCTTGCAGTGCACTATGAAGCTTAGTTAATATTTGGGAGGGACATTGTGAATCTCTGATGGGAGTACTTACAGAAGAGCAATAATACTATTGGTGTTAAAAATGCAATACTGAAAAGCCAGCTGTAACAACAAGCACCAGCAGTGGCTGGTCCTTGTGCTTCTGCTTTACCTTTTGGATTCTTTGCTAATGTTTTTCCGTGTTTCTTTCCATAGGAGATGACCGAGAATGGCAGTCATCAGCTGGTGGTAAAGGCCAGGTTCAATTTTAAGCAGACCAACGAGGATGAGCTCTCTGTTAACAAGGGAGACATTATTTATGTTACCCGAGTTGAAGAAGGGGGCTGGTGGGAAGGGACACTGAATGGAAAAACAGGCTGGTTCCCAAGCAACTACGTCAGAGAAATCAAATCCTCCGGTAAGCAAATTGCTTTCAAGGGCTGACTGAATGACAGCAGTATAATGCAGTGCAGATCCTTATGCCTTTGGGAAATAGCTGCTATTTATTAAGGGCTGTTAGTGTGCTCAAAGCAAGCGTGCTAATGGAGGTATGAATGGGACCAGAAGGGGAAGACTCGCCTTTCGCGTGACTCTCCCTGTTCTCCAGTGCTGCGTGTCCAATGCCCTGTCCAGGCAGGAGCAGGGGCAGCTTCCAGCACGGGAGGACGCGGACGAGCTTGCTTTGTGGCTCTGCCTCGCTCCCTTTGTCATGGGGAAGCAGCGGCTCTTTCCAGCAGCTAAGCACGGAGTTACCTTTTGTTTAAGGCCTTTGTTGGCCTATGTTTTTGGCTCTGATCCTGCCATTTCTGGCAGTGGCAGAATGAATGCTTGTGATCTCCATGAATAAGCCAACAAAAACTATATGGCCATAGGGAACAATTCCCTGTTTTCTTGTGTAGCTATGGTTGATTTCACAGAGTACATTTTCCCTCCAGATGCATCTTCTGCTGCGAAGCTGGAGGCAGTGTCACGAAAAGAAGAGAGAGGGAATGATTGGTCTGATGCCATTTGCCTTCATTGCGCTTTGTCTCGAGTGTTGGTGGCATTTTCTGAGATGTGCTTTTAACCAGAGGTGCAGTGATGATGACGTGGGCGATTCCCCTGGCTACCTGCCCTGTGGTGGCCCGTGTCCATTCAAACCGTTCACCCAGCTGGGTTTCCCGCACCACTGAGGGGTAGTAAACTTGTTTTTTAAAACATCCAACTTAAATCTCCTCATTTGCATTGAGGACTTACCCTCAACAGAGAACCCTTATGTGTCAGGTGCTGTGCTTAGGGACCAGGATCAGCCCTGACCTCAAATGCTGGGAGACATTGGGAGTGGTTCGCAAAGCGAATGCAGAATTTATAACTCCTGCTCCCATGCTTGGAAGCAAAAAAGCAAAATAGGGAAGAATAAGATTAATGAGCGATCCTGCAGAATTAGGCCAGATTTTATTTAAATCTAAACGAAAAGGAAAATCATTGTTAGAATATCTCATCTCCCACTGTTTTCCTCTGGGAAATGATGTCTGAGCTGGAGCCGGATGTTACACATAGATGGAAGGCTCGTTTGGCACAGCCTCTGAATGACTAATTAAGTCAGCGAGTGGAGAAGGGAAACGTTTTGAAAAGCAGAGCAAACCCTGGTCCCGTGGGGGAAGTCAGACGGGAGTTCATGGAACAGCAGCACCTTGGAGAAGCAGAGGACGAAGCTCCCGCTGCTCCCTATGGGTGCCCGCCAGATTTTTCCTTCTGCAAAGCCTTGCCCTCCGAGTCCTCCCTCCAGCCTCGATGTGGCAGGAGGGTTCATTCCTCCAGGGTGACAGGGAAAAAAGCCAGCAAACTGTCTGCTTGCTGCGGGACACGTGCAAGTGGCTGACACAGTGCCCCCCCGTGGCCCCCCCCCCTGCCACGGCCGCTGCATCGCTGCTCTCCGCAGCCTCCCTCCGAGCTGCGGGCCTGGTCTCCCCAAGGAGTTGGGGACACAAGGGGCAGCACGGCGCCCTTCGTGCGCCCGGAGCAGGGCTCCCGCGAGCCTGTAAATGAAGCACAGCGCTCAGGGGCCGGAAGCGACAGGAAGCTCCGCAAGGGCAGTCATTAGAAAATACATCAAGCTGTGCTTTCCAGGGGCTAAATCTATCAACTTCAGCTTCTCCCCTGCTGTCAGTATGGAAGTGCTTGCCTGAGAGCAGCTGTAGCTGCAATGCAGGGCAGAAGTGCCTGGCGGGTTTCGGGCTCTTGCCGCGCAGACCCGTCGCCTGCAGTGGGTGAGGGTTGCAGTCAGGACCCGCGCGCAGGGCCTCGCACCAGGGACCGGAGTGAGTCTGGAGGAGTGACAAATACCTGCGAACTGCCTGGAGCAACCCGCTATGCAGCGCATTGGATGGACTTACAGTTTTAAAACCCGAAGTTGGCGGGGTGGGGAGGCCACGCTGAGTTCCAAAGAGCACCAGCCACGGAGCTGCTGCCAGGGATATCGGAGCAAACCTGTAAACGGCAGTGACGGAGGCTGCGCTCTGGGCCTGGTGCGACTTCCCCAGCTGCCCATGTCGTGCATGCCTTCAGTTTGCTCCTGCTTCTGGAAAAGCAGACAAACAAGCCCTGTAGTTGAACTTCTGTGTTTACAGAAGTGGAGTTTTTGTTGTTAGTGTTTTTTTTTGTTTGTTTGTTTGTTTTTTTTTTCAGTCTGCTGGACATGCCAGGGCGGCAACATTCCTGTAGGATAATGGGGGTTCTGCAATATAATTTATTGATGTATTTCTTTGTGCAGATAAACCACTCTCTCCCAAAGCATTAAAAGGACTTGAAAGCACTCAGCTGACAAAGAATTATTACCCTGTGGTAAGTTTTAAAGCGCTGATTGTACATTTTAATAAGTAGCATATTATTAATCTTCTGAACTGGCTCCTTCCCTTAGAAATCATTGAAGCAATTTGTAACAATTGGGGATGTGACTCTGTATTTAAATGCAGCTGTTGCCATTTCCTTGATTCAGGGTGCTTGCTGGGTTGTCGATACAATAAACCCCAAAAGGAAGATGCTGCAAGATCTCTAAAGGAGAGCTTGAAGTAGACAACTGAGAACTCAGCAATTTTGAGATCAGTGTTGGAGAAAAAGTCATTACGTTTCTGTTCCAGTCCTTTCCTTTGAATGTCAGTTATCTTCCTCTAATAGAGATGGGGAGATAATGAATTGTGTCACAGAGCAAAGCAAGCCAAAGTAGAGCTCTGGTCCACGATCCCCTTCTTTGCTTTAGCTGTGGGGGCTGGAGATGTTGCACTCTGAGCTGTGTATCCTGCGCTTTGCCAGGAGTTACAGCCCTTGGAGAACGGGCAGCTGCTGCAGTTCACAGCCTGAGCTGTTCACTGGAGTTGGTTCTGGAGGTCAACATGCCAGGCCCCGAACTGCAGCAGCAGAAGGGGTAGAGAAACATCTCCTTTTCTGCCACCCTGCTCCAGGAGCAGTAATGTCTAGCAAACGGGGGCAGGTACCTTCCTGCTGTGTCCAGCCTGGAATAAGCCCTTTGGTGCAAGAGAACTAAAATGCCTGCATGTGAACATCCCTGGCTCTCGGCTCCAGGGGTGAAACGTGTTCATCAGCATGTCAGAATATATTTTGAAAGAAAGCAAAGTGGGAACAGCGTGCCCGGAAAGCTGGGAACCACCTCCACTGTCTCCAAAGCCCCATCAACACTGTGAAGCTGGAGATCGTGGAGGCAGTGGGTTCGACTACCCTTCTGCTGGAGACGACCTCGCTGCTGAGCTGAATTAGCAGCACCAAACTGAACTCAGCCCTTCCTCAAAGGGGCAAGCGAGCTGTGCTCTGGCTTGAAGTGTTGCAGGAGCCGTCTTCGTTCTGGCCACTGTTTCATTTAAACATTGCCTGCCTACGTGCAGATGGTGGTCCCAGGATGCATGCACAGACCATTTGTTTGCATTCCTTGGCAGCCAGTTATGCATGCAGGGTTAGGCATGAGGCTTTTGGGGGTCAAATACAAACCTCAAATCTGAATTCACATTGTCTTCATGCTTTGCCAGAGAAGAAGGAGCAGCCCTTAACACCCATTTTCCAGGACTCCCCTAGTTTGCAAAGTGAAATCCATAAATTGGATCCCTAGGGCTTTTCTGAGCATTCTGGGTTCTGTGTTAACAAATGTAAATGCATTTATGGACTTAACATACAGTTCCGTGGTTGCCCCATGCTTGGAAGCTGATGTCATATTCCTGTAACTAGTCACTAGTACTAAGCTCTACTCGGTCCTCTGTCTCTCACCCTAGGTGTTGCAAAATATTCTGGAAACAGAACGAGATTATGCGAAGGAACTCCAATCACTTCTGGGAACTTACTTAAGACCCCTCCAGTCTTATGATAAGTAAGATATAAGGACATCTGAGATGGACAGAACCCTGTAAATTGACCATAGTTCATTACTTTTCCGCTTTTGAATGTTTAGGGCCTGTTACTGCTCTTGTAAAGCCTTAGAACTTCTCTGTGAACAAGAAAAAAGACTATGTTTGTACAGGTTTCTGCTCTTCCCTATTCCTCAGTGGTTGTGCAGGCATTCAGTTGTGTTCGAGATGGGCATTTCTTTTTGGTAGTTGCTGGCTGTTACAATTCATCTGCAAGCTCATCTGTGACTGTCCTGGCATGCATGTTTCCTGGCGGCATGCCTTGCATGGCTTCTTCCTTTGTAATGTGTCTTGTTGTGGCTTCTCAGCCCCAAGTGGCATCGTGTGGTCATCTCTTCCCTTAGCGAGCCAGGAGGTTTATGCTCTCTGGTCAGCTTGCCGCTCGCTTAGTCCGAACTGCTGCTGAGCAAGTCAGGAGTCCCCTCTCTCCCCATCTATATTGTGATCTGCCTAAATTGTCTCCTTGTTCAGAAAGAGCATGCTGCCGTCCCCCATGGGCAGAGCAACATTTGGACAACCAAGTGCCTCTCTCAAGGTTTACCCATGGCAGTAGGTCGCTGTGTTTTCCATCGGTGCTGGCAAGCGTGCTCCGGAGTCAGCACGCACCCAGTCACGTCCATGGGATTGCTTCGTGCTCCCCGCCATGATGACAGTCAGCTCGCTGCATATCAACAGATTTGCACCAATAGATTCAGTATGTCTAAAATACTCAGTGTAGTTAGCTTTATCCCGGGCTGTTCACCTCAGCTTTGCAGTTGCCTGCCCCAACAGTGCCCAGCGCGGGACCTTGCCCATGGAGCTGCAGCGGTGCTGGGGCAGGAGCCCCTGGGCCGAGCGCGCTTCCCGGAGGAGCGCTCAGCCCCGCGGCATCGCGGGCAGCAGGCAGACGGTTACACATCCCCGCTCTGGCGAGAGGAGACAGCCATGTCTTAAGGCCCGTCTGTTTAAATCTCTCCTTCCTTCCCCCAATCTTCGCATGAGATATCTTCTGCTATGAAAAATTCTCATCCTCTCAGCCTCGCTACCCCGCAGGCAGCGAATCGCTTACGATTGCAAGGCAGTGACAGTGAGGCGCTTGGCTCTGAGCATGACAGGAGCAAGGGTATTACCTTTGGCTAGGAAAAACCCAGCATTACACACGGAACAGAGCAAACCCTAGTGAGGTGCTGCATTAGGAGACCCTCCTCGCGTAGGAAAACCCACGGCATGAATCTGTGAAGACAAAGCTGTCCCTGTGTCTGTGCACATGTCTCCCTGCCCACCCTTTTAAGAAATCCCATCTGTCTGTGTCTATTAGACAGCTAAATTTCTGAGAAGATTAGTGTGATTAAAATCCAATTAAGTTAATCCTTGACAGCAGACATCTTCTCCAGGAGGTTGTGCTCTGTAGCTCACAGATCATGGATTTTGGTGTTTTTATCATGTTCAGTGATGTATCTGGGGGAAACGGAAATTTCTGGGCCCTGTTGAAAGGACAGCTTACAGATGCTGTGGGGATCCTCCTAAAAGGTCTGCTCAGAGGCACAGCATTTCTTTGATGCTAATTGTGATTTTATCCTTTTAGGCTCAGTGCTGTGGACATCGCGGCGTTATTGGGAAATGTGGAAGAAATCTCTGCGTTTCAGCAAACGCTGAACCAAGCCTTGGAAGAAGTTGCAAAGTAAGCTCCTGCTGTGGCATTGGGGGTGTTAAGCTATTAGACTGTGTCTAAAAATAATAGAAAGACCCACTCGTTAACATTCATCCTGGCTGCTGTCTTAGGCTTGTCACATGTAGAAGAAAATAACAGGATGGAAGAAAGGCAGCAGATAGTGCTTTGAGAGGAGGGAAAGCAGGAGAAACTTTGCCATTTCTACTGTTAAGGTGTCTGCTGAAACACACGACACAGAAGTGCCACAAACCTAACGACACAGACATGGGCAGGGTGGGAGATCAGGCAGGCATGAGGGTAGGGTTGTCAGTGGAAAGAGAGGAAATTATCCCAGGTGGTAACATCCCCCGAGGAGGCTGGAGACCTGTCAGGGCAAGAGTCTTGATGTGATGGTTGGTGTGTTGGTGCTCGTAGGCTCCCTGAGAACCAGCAGCGAGTGGGAGGCTGTTTCATGAACCTGATGCCCCAGTTCCGCTCCCTGTACCTGACGTACTGTGCTAACCACCCGTCTGCAGTCAGCGTCCTCACGCAGCACAGGTGAGTGAGGGAGAAGGAGATTGGGGTGGAATTTCCCCCTTTAAAAAGTCACTTATGTTACTGATATGTGGCCATTGTGGCTTTTGCACAGGATCTTGGCAATAGGGTATGGAGATAACGGAGATCCTGCTGCTGGGAAGAGGATGGGGGCTTTGGTCTCTTGGGCATAGCCCCTCAGCTTCAGCTCCGGCAGCTTCAGTCAGCTCATGGAGCTGTGCTGGGCACAGAACTGTGCCATCAGTGTTCAGAGCTGGGCTCGCAGGTTCAGTCTATATGTGCAAGACTCTCATTTGATGGGTAAAACAGGAAACTCCTGTTTGCCTCGCTCAGCCCATGCAGCAGCATCTCCTCCAACTGTTTCTTGCTTAAGGACCCAGATGCTCTTTCAGCCCCGATGCTGAAATGCTCAAATTCTTGCAGATGGGAGTGTTTTCCTACATATGGCACTGTGGTGTGGAGCACATCACTGCAAATAGAAGATGCTAAGAAAATTTCCTAGAATTACTCACTTCTGATAATTCTGAGCTGCTGTTCAACAGGACAGTTGTTCTCAGAGGTCTTTGATACATTGCTGTAATCGCATCTTCCTTCTTCATATGCTGCCTGAGCAGACACCTGAATTTGGGTAATGTCATGCTAAAGAGTGCACAAGCTGAAAGGCTACAATTATGTCATGTCTAATGCAGTTTAGCCGTCCTTCCCACGGTGATGGGAAAGCCAGGACGCCAGCCACTCTCTTTCATTCCTCCCTTTCTGTAATGGAAGCTTGCAATGTATTTACCCACCTGCTGAAATCCAACTTTAATCCAGCCTAATGAAAAGCCTCGCTCCTGAAAAGTGACTCATTCATTTGGCTCATTAGTCTGAGCCCTGTTCTTAAATCAAGCAAACAATCAGTTTTGGCAGACACGCAGCCGTGCACAAGCCGTGTTTTCCAAAGCCATGTGAGTGCTGCCGTTGGCCTCGCTGCTCCCAGCACGGTCCCTGTGCCCAACCAGCACATCCTGCTGTTGCTGTTGTGTTGATGTTGCTGTGACATCCTGCAGCGCAGCGCGAGGGCCTGCAGCCCCTGTGCCACCTCACTGTGCCAGGAGACTGGCACTGCCACCCGTGTAGCCCTGGACACTGCAGGGCTACAGGAGCAGCTGCCACGCAGCCTCCCCGGGAGGTTTGGTCCTGCCCAACGCTGAGCTCGCTGCTGCTTGCCTGGCCGGCCAGGTTTGCAGCTGGGGAGTCCCTGGAAGGGCCTTTGGGCTGCTTTTAAAACAGCGTAGCTCGCCAGGAGAGCGTGGGAGGCAGCAAAGCAGAGCCCTCGGCAGCGGCGAGCTCTCATACTTGTCTCTATTTATAGTGATGAGCTGGAAAAGTTTATGGAGAGCCAGGGTGCGGCCAACCCAGGCATCCTCCTCCTAACCAGCAGCCTCAGCAAGCCCTTCGTGCGGCTGGACAAGTACGTGACGCTTCTGCAGGAGCTGGAGCGGCACATGGAGGTAGGCGGCGTGGGGACGGCCGTGTCCCGTGGTGCTGCAGGAGCCAGCCCCAAGTGACACGAGGCAGCTCTGCCCCTTCCTCTAGCACTTGAGCACCACGCTCTAAAATCCCCTAGGAGGAGGAAAGGGCAGTCACACCTGCATGGGAAACTTTCAGCTTAAAAATAGGAAAGCAGTGGAGGGTGGCGAGGGGGATCTGCGGGAGGTAGTGCCTGTTCTGCACCCGTGTCCTTCACACAAGATGGACCAGTTCCAGCTCAAGCTGAAGCAAGAGGTCAGGGCCAGGCTAAAGCTGATGTTTATGTGCACAGTGGGTAATAATGCAGCGTTTTTATTAGGATTTTCTGCCAGTCCTGGCCTGGCCCTGCCCCCCCCTCCGCCAAGGTTTGGGCTCGCAGGCCAGAGCACTCCCGGAGCTGCCGCTGTGGCTCGGAGCGTGGCCGCGGGGCAGGAAGGAGCACGAGCGCAGCGAGGGGAAGAGAAACCTTCCCAGTGGGTGACAGAGGAGCTCTTGGACATTCCTGTGCCGCCCACCCGCCGCTGTGCTCAGCAAGGGCGATGCACATCTCCAGGGAGGACACAGGGAGGTGAGGAAGACAGAAAGAACAGTCAGGTTTTTTGGCCAGTTTTGCTTTTCCCTCTTCCAACATTATTTACCACTTAATTACTTGGCAAAATTAGCCATGCTCATTGAAATCCAGGCCACAGCCAGAGGATTAAAACCTCGAGACAGAGGCTTTTCTGTATAAGAGGGGGCATAATACTCTGCACAGATCTGTCCTGCTCCCCGCTGGCAAAGCTAAACAGCAAGGGCAGAGCTGAGCTTGTGTATGGCCACTGTGCCCAGCCAGACACCCAAGTGCCCTCTGCAGGAGGGTGTCCCCTGCTAGTGCCAAGTCCTTGCTGGTACCTCCACATCTCTGTGAAGCCTTTCAGCAGCAGTGCAGACAACCATCCCTGCGATGCTGTGGCAGTGCAGGTGTGCCTACGTACCCTTAGACATGCAGCAGAGAGGACGTATGGCACCAGGGCCTTATGAGGAGGGTGCGCCTTCCAGAATTTTGTCCTCTGCCTTTGAATTCCTACTTCGGGACCTTTGCAGCAAGACCAGGAATCACAGGTCTCGCTTTGGTTTGGCCAGTCCCTGAGATTCTTAATATTGGATTCAAGCTGCACAGAGGTTCGGAGCCTTTTTTGCCCTCCTTTGTGGCTGCTGCCCCCAGGTGTGGTGGCCACAGGCCAGCCAGGGAGAGATCAGGCAGCGCGGCACTCGGGGACATAGACATCAGCTGTTTTTCTTAGTTTCTAAGCCAAGGATGGTGGTAGGGGTCTCATTGCTTGAGTCCTTAGGGGTGAGGTTTTGAGCTGTGGTCTCCTGGGGAGAGTCTGGACATGGGCAGCAGCTGCATGCAGAAGGGAGGTATACAGGATGGATGTGTGCCCTAGCATCCCCTGCTCAGCTGGGGACAGAGCAGGTCTGCTCAGGACAGCCAACATCCAGGACTGAGGGGCAGGTGGCCCCAGACATCCTCTCACAGCCACGGGGACATCTGTGTCGTTGCCCCGGCTCCTGGTGGTTTGTGTGGCTGCTGGGCACAGGGTCTGCATGGCAAAGAGCTTATGATGTAGGGCCCTAGATGTGCAGGAGAAGATGCTCGGAGAGTAGCAGCACGCGGGTGAGTTAGAGATAAGCTGCACAGGGTGGTGAGGAAGCCAAGTCTGGGACCAGGGGAATTTTTGTCCCTCCTGCTGTCCTGGCTGTCGGCACCCTGGGTCCTGCTTCCTCCAGAGCCCAGAAGCCCTGGGTACCCAGGGACAGTTCTGCGCTTCCCTGGGCTGTTGCTGCTCTTGCCTCAGAGATTTTCCTTTCCTTTCCTTTCCTTTCACTAGGAGGCGCATGCAGATCATGAAGAGGTTTTGAAAGCAGTCACATCCTTCAAGTCTCTTGTGGTAGGTGGTGATTCTTAAAATAGAGCACCCCATCTCAGGGCTGCGTTTCACAAAGAATGAGTCAAGTTTGGCATTTGTCTCCTTGTTTTAAGAAAAAAAAAGTCTTTTGGAGTGGAAAAGATGGTTTATAAAGACTACTTTAATTTCAAGGTTCGAGCCCAGAGTTGCCCCTTTGGTTGCACGTTCCAGCAGTCTCACGCTGGCTCTGTGGTCCCCCAGCAGAGGATCTCTCGCTGCTCTGTGCGCTGCAGCTGAAAGCCACGTGTGGGCAGTGCTGGTGGCGGGGCCCCTTTCATCTCCTTTTACCTCCATCCCCTCGGCATTTGCCACACGGAACCGTAGCAGCCCTTGCTCATTCAGATGAGCCCTGGAAAGGTTAACGCTGGCGTCTGACTCAACCCTTGGGGCAAGGAAGGGCCTCCCCCAGCCCACTGAGCGGCTGTTGATTTTGCAGAGATTTGTTCCGTGGGCATCAGCAGACTTTGGCTGCGTCGCAGGTATTTGTCACTGCAGGTGCCCTGGCCATCGGCAGCAAATGGAACAACCTGCACAAACAGCGGCAAGGGAATGAGTCAGAGAGCAAGACTGAGCCTATTTCAGTGAGCTGAGTTACCTGCACCCCTCCAAGTCCCCTTGCATTGAGATGAAAAAGACGGGGAAAAGCTATCCTCATGCACCAATGTTTTACTCGGCAGAGGTTTTTTTTTTCGGTTAATGAGATGCTCTGTTCTCTCTCTGTAGCCACTGAATGCCTTTCACTATAACCACTCCAGATGTGGTCCAACTTCCTTCCTTAGCAGAGCAGATACAAGTTTTCAGTACTTAGCTGTGTAGATAAAAGATGGGGAGGAGAAAGTTCATAGAAAACAGGAAAGGACGATCGTGTTACATTTACTTAGAAACTCCACTCCCTTTCCATTTATTCTAGTAGATAATAGAGGAATAATTCAGTTAAGTTGAAAGATGTCATTAATCTTAAGAAATACTTGTCAATGATAGAGATTTTTAGTTGAAATGTATACTTGGGCACTTAGCACTTCAGTGTAATTGTGGCATAACTAAAGTGATTCACTGTGGATTTGAGGTGAGATGGTAGAAAACCCTTCTGCAACACGTGGCTCCCAGGGGGCCAGGATCAGAGAGGCTCCTGAACACAGTTATGGCAGATGTTACTGCAGAGCCACAGCTTGAGCAGAGCTGTGTGGTTTGCAGTGATGTCTGCTCTACAGATTGTGATGGATCGTTGTGGATTTTTTTTTAGCAGTTTGCACACTGTAAACTCAGTAGGTGAAAACTCATCCCAGCCTTGGTCCTGCAGCAATTTTTCCTCTTGGCAGAATGGTCGGTTAGAGCAAATTTTGCAGGGATTTGCAGGGTCATCTCTGCTTAGTCAGCAGTGCCCTCTGTTTGCTGAAAGTTGCTGGAAGAGCAGCCCCTCTGCGGAGCTCTAGCAGCCCAGAGCTGCTGCACCCTTCTGAACTGATGTAGCTTCCAAAACTGCCTTCTGTCCTGCTCCACTGCACTGCTGCAACATTGTGCCAAGATCCCAGTTTGGGTTTTGGAAGGGCAGACCTGGAAGGGTGTCTCCAGACGTTTACCTTTGTGACTGTCTTGGTGTGGAAAATGCAACCTTGTGCTCTGAGGCAGAACTAGTCTGGAAAGAAAAGCGTGCTCAGTGCAGTTCGCAATTTCTTTGACATTTTAATGGATTTAGGACTTTGCTAAGATGTGATTTTAAACAAACTTCATGTGGCAGAGCCAAAGCAGACTTCCATGCAAGCTTTTCTGGTGCAAAGGTTAGTGCAGCTTTTGCAAAATAGTAGGCCCGATTGTACGTTATGTGTCGCTATGTGTGACATATAGTCACATATAGTTACACATATACTGTGGGTCTCTCTATGCCATGGGTCTCTTCTGGGCTAACGATCTGAGCCCCGCAGGCAAATTCTGCTTGTGGTGCAATCCCTGGGTGCGCTCAGCACTGAGCCCCTTTGGCTAAAGCTGTCAGGCCGGGGACAAGGCTGGTGGCTCTGTCTTCGTGAGGATGCTCCGCGTTCAAGTCTGCTCTTCTGTTGATAAAAACCGCTGCCACTGTGATTTGCAGTCCCAGTGCCAGGAGCTGCGGAAGAGGAAACAACTCGAGCTGCAGATCCTCTCCGAATCCATCCAGCGCTGGGAAGGCGAGGACATCAAAACGATGGGAAGCATCATCTACATGTCCCAGGTTATGGTACAGTGCGGGGGAAGCGAGGTAAGTGCAACAGTCCTTCCTTCTGCTGGCAAAACAGATCCTGGCTTGCTCTTGGGATCAGCTGTACCAGGTGACAGCTGCTCTGACCCCAGGCTGGCCCAGTGCTGACACATAACGCCTAGTTCTATCCGTGTGAGTGCTGCACAGCGGGACTGTGCGTGTCTTGGAAGCCACGCACAGCAGTCCTGAGGGATTAGCCTCAGGCTGGCAATGGCACGCTTTTCAAACAAACACAGAAAAAGGAGTTTTAGTGTCACTTAGCACATCAATTTCCCTTCTTGCTCCCTGTGGCTTACTCGGAGAATTGAGAGTGGCCTTAAAGCGTGCATTAGCGTAAGCATTTTGCAAGGTCCTGTGCCCAGCCTGGCAGCTGCTGTGACCCGCCGCAGAGCTGACCGTGCTGTGGAAGTGGCTGGAGGGATTCCTGCAGTACAAGTGCAGGTGCTGGTCCTGAAACATCACATTCATGTTCTTAACAGGTATCATCCTGAAGGGTTAAACCCATGAACGCTGCATGTTTTGAGTGTTTACTACCTGGGACCTGTTACCACTGGATTGCTTTCTTGCTATAGCGACTTCCCCTGGGGAGGGAGATCTGTTAAACAACCTCGTAATTTGTAGTCCTTCCTGTCTCATTTGGGATATGAAATGTTGGGAGACATAAGGTTTTCTGAGGCACGTTTAAATGGTTGGAAAAGAGGAGGTCAGTAATATCTTTGGGATTAGCAAGCTGCAAGCAAAAATGTATATAGGCTCCCTCAGAGAAAAAAAAACAGTAGTGCAGTTAATACAGAAAAGCAATGCTGCAAAGAAAATAAGCCCAAGTAATCGGTTCGGATCTTGGTCTCTCTAAGGCTGTGATGCCAACCACAAGTTCCGTCTGCTGCGGGTGAGGGCTCGCAGTAGGCTGCAGAAGGCACTGACCTTAATTCCTGTACCCACAGGAGAAAGAAGAGCGCTATTTCTTGTTGTTTGCGAACGTTTTGCTCATGCTGTCCGCAAGCCCACGGATGAGCGGGTTCATATATCAGGTAGGCCTGCTTAATTTGAAGTTGCAAGGTGCTAGGTGTGAAAAAGGAAATCAGATATCTCTCATAAAGTTCAGATCCTCTGCTTGCTCAAAGCTCTCGGCCGCGGTGCTGATGCTCCACGCTGAGGTAGCAGGGCTCGCTTTTACCGTGCGTGCCAGGGCACTTGCTGAAAGCACCTGGGTCCTGTCAGCCCATTAAACAGCTTATGGTAAGTGTCAGTGCTATGGAATTACAGAAAAGAGAAAAAAAAATCAAACCAAACCCTGCCGTTGCCCTACATGCTATTCTCAAGAATTATATGGTGTGCAAGGAGTCCCGACCCAGCTGTGGGATTTTGCTCTGCATGAAGAGCCAGCTGACTGACAGCATTGTGCTGGTTTTGGAAGATATTCCTTTATTTTAAAGGCCACTGTAAACAGGCAAAATTTCCACTGTATGAGGCAGCCTAAATGATGCATTTTTTTTGTGTCTCACCTTCCTGAATGGCTGCAGTCAGACTGTTTGGAGTTTGTCTTACTGTAATTCCTTGAAGGAATAAATAGCCTCCCAGAAAGGCTGCTGTTGTGCAGATGTGTCATTTGTTTTGTACGAGGGTGGTGAGGGAGGCAGGAAAAGTTTGGGAAGGGTTTTGCTGGGCTTAGATTATGTCCAGCAGTGGAACTAAGGGGAGTGGGCTGTTCACTATGTAAAGCAGAGGGACACGGGAGGCTTTCAGAAAGAACAGGGGAAGTTCGTGCTCCCAACTGCTGTGTAAAAGGCCTTGTACCTAGCGAGTTTCAAGGGTGATAGATGAGCCAGGAATGACTCAGTTGTCATGGGAGCCTCTTCTCGGGGGTTTGACCTAGTTGTGCAGAGAAATCAAGATCCATAAATTAAAGGAGGCTTTTTGTGTATTCTGGAGCCTTCACAAATTAGCTCTTAATGGCAAATCCTAGAGAGAAGGGAATCGGCAGGAACGAGTAAGACAAGACCTGCCTGGGAGGCAGATGCAGACACTGACTCTTCCTCAATCCTCCCAGGGAAGGCTGCCTCTGACAGGGATGACGCTGACGAAGCTGGACGACGCCGAAGGGAATGAGCACACGTTTGAGATCGCAGGTCAGTGGCACCGTCCTCGCAGCAGAGGAGCAGCTGCCTCCGGAGGCACCTGCTCTTCGCAGCCTCTGCGTCCCCCGGAGCCGTGGTCCCCCCTGCTCTGCGTAGCGCCCAGCTGCTTGCTAAGACAACAGCTTTTGTAAGGGACACACTTTCAACAAGGGCCGATCGTGCCCCCAGTGGCACTTTGTGCCTGGTGCTATTTGATGTCAGAGCTCCATTAGTCACTGAATTTGCTTGTCTTAACTTTAAACAACCTTGCACACTTTCATTCCTCAAGTTTCCACAGCTTTTTTGTGTGGACTGGGTGCCCGAGGCAGTCACATTTTTGCACTGGCCTCTCTGAGACCACTGGGCTTTGCAAGCTGAGGAGCTGCTTGCTGTCATGAGGAGTTGAGCGTATCTGGTGTTTCTTGCTGGGTCTATGCTGTTTTCTCAGGAAGGTTATTTAACCCTTCGCTGCAGGGAACATGATGGAGCGGATCACTGTGTCCTGCAGCAGCAGCCAAGACTTGCACGAATGGCTTGACCATTTGCAGAGGCTCACCAAAGGGACGTGCAACATCACATCCAAAACTCAGTCCTGGAGCGCGCATTCGGTAAGTGGTTCCCCCCAGTCTGTCTTGTTACTTCTGGCTTCTCAGAACCAGCTTGTCTCTTCTTCTGCCATGCACCCTGGTAGTGAGATCATGTACATGTTTATACAACTGCAGTTGTATAAATGCTGCGGTTTTGTTTGTAACTATGTGCATGTTGTTTGTAACATGTTGTTCACAGTCAGGGCTGCACATAACTTTTTTTTATATCCTGTCCCATTTTGGTTACAACCTCTGTGTCTCAAAGGAGTCCATAGCGAACCTTTGTCATTGCCCTCTGTTTGGATGCTTCACTTGTGGCTAACACCCTTCATTGTTTCTTACCTATTTTCTCAGACATTTAGTTCAACTGGACAGATTCGTGGCCCGCTGGAGCCTCCCAAAATCCTCAAGCCCTGGAGCTTGAGCTGCCTCCGTCCTGCTCCTCCGCTCAGGCCCTCGGCCGCGCTGAGTTACAAAGAGGTAATCCCTCATGCGCATCATTTCATGGCAGGCTCCAGTGTCCATGCCCAGATTTCTTTTCCCATGGCTGTGTTTATTGCTGCTTAGTCGATGGGAATGCTAAGAGGAAACACTGTGCAGAGCTGCGCCCCGTCCTGCACATGTGCATGAAGGATGCTTGTCCCTGCAGCCGGCTCCGTGCCGCAGGCGCAGCATGTGGGTCTGCAGGGCTGGGGCCCTTCCTCGGGGGTTTCGACCGGCTGTCCCGGCTCTCTCCGTCGGAGGTCGGTGCAGGGATCCCAGGGATGCAGCTGGGATGAAACCCACTGGGATGCAGCAGCGTGCGGGATTGCTTCCCTCGCACAAACCCACGCCTGGGAGGCGGGAGGCCCCCGGGAGCGTGGGGAAACCCAAAATAAACCCCAGCTCCCGTTCTCCTCGCCTGCGGTAACTGCAGTGCTCTCCTTCCCTACCTCACGTTAAACTTTTGGGATTACTCACCGGTAACTCGGGTAACGTTCCCCTTGCTGATAGAGCACTCCGGTTCTGAGTCAGCGGCCTTTCTCGGTACCGCAGCCCTGGGAGCGCCGGTACCAGCGCTCCGAGCGCGGCCCGGGCCCGGAGCGGGCTCAGCCCCCGGCTCCTGCCGCACGGAGCCAACTCCCGCCGGGGCGGCTGCTCCGGACAGAGATTTTTGTGATGTTCTGTTCTGTTTGGTTCTCAAAATCCGTAAAATAATATATTTCAGTTTGGAAATCAAATTACTCCAAAATAAATAAATAAATAAAATAACACCCTTAATCTTTGCATATTCTAAATACGTAACATAAACTAAACAGTTTCTTGTTTGCATGGTGAATTAAAAAATATAGGAAGGGGCTTTAATTTGAGCAGAAGTTTTTCTGTATGTAAGTAGAAAGATTGCATTTATGTTTAATGTAGGCCAAAACCACAGATGGAGCGATATCATTAATACCACGATCCTTTGCACTTTCTCAACTATTCCCTACCCGCAGAGCTAACGCTAGAAAGTCCCCAGGCAGTGAAGAGACTTTCTTTGCATTAGGCCTGGACTTGCAGTGATTTTGCCACAGCTGTTGGTTGGTAGGATGGGACCCGGTGGCCCTAGACTGCAAGTGGAGTCTTGTTACAAAGATAAAATAAATCCGAATCACAGAATGGTTGAGATTGGAAGGAACCTCTAATGAATATGAATTTCAAGGATTATTTGCAGGGAAGGGAGTGGGGGGATTTGATTAAAGTTTAAACATTTTCAGACATCCAGTGTTGCTTTAATTGGCTTCTAATAGTGCAGGATGGGATGGCACAGTCGTGCGCATTTCCTCATACCTTGCTGCATTCAGGAAACCCCAGAACCTGCTTACGTACCGCACATCACTGTTGTTATTTCCATTGAAATTGGGTCATTTTTCCTGTTCTGTTTCCAGTAATCATTTGAAATGACAAAGCAGGTGCTGTGGGTAAAGCGGTGTATCTGGATGCAGGTTAGCAAAGTGAGACAGCCTTGCAGATGATTTCTTTTCTCTTTATTTGTTTCAAGTAACCCGCTTGGCAGCAGGTGAAGGGTTTGTAACCTGGGCGTGCGTTCGTCCCGCTGGCCACGGCGCCTCGGGAGGCTGCTACTAACCGAGGGGCATGTGCTCTGGTTGGCGCCTGCGGGTGTCCGAATGCCGCTCACCTCGTGCTGCACGCGCCGTCCTTTCGGTTTTGCATGACGCCGTGCTCTTTGCATGTCGATAGTGCTCTAAAACCGGGCCAGAGGGGGTGAACATTAATCTCAACACTAACCTTTAAGTGTGTTGTAGAACTGTGGATTTAATGGACTTGGTCAATAAAGTCATCAGCCTCTCACACTCATCTTCTCTTTCTTTGCATATTCATTGTAGAGGATGTCTTATATCTTAAAGGTAAGAGTAGATACATCTCTCTGGCTTGCTGTGGCTCGTTCCTCTCGTTCATGCTTCTCCTGCTTGCATGCCCCTGATTTTGCCTGGCAATACCAGCATGCTAACATGACAGTCAGCTGTGACTGGCAAATATATCTGGAGAAAAACCTCAACAAGAATTTAGGACCATGATACTGAAGCTTCCTGACATGCATTTCTATGCATTTCTGCCTTTTTTTTTTTTAATAGGGAATCCTTAGAATTTATATTGCATGTAACCTACTAATGTACTAATTCTGTCCAATTGGCAAGACTCATAGCCCAGTGAGGGAGATAAAAGCTTTTGTTTCTTGCTTATGGAGTCATAGTAGACACTAACTTTGTGTGTTATTTTTCCTTCCCTTCATATTTTGATGGGGTATTTATACTCTCAAATAAATTGCGTGCCTTTAGAAACAATGCCATTTATTGACTGTTTTATATTAGAAATAAGCGCAGAGTCAAGGAAATAAACATTATTGCAGCGTTTTCTAACAAGTACCACAGGGTTGGTAAAGGGACTAAGAGCGCTGGGAATGCTTTTGGATCCTTTAGGTTCAGGATACCGGCCGGGGGTCGCGTTTGCTGAAGGGCTGTGCCGTGTCCCAGATCTGCAGGTGCAATTCCCACTGCTATTGCAGGGAGCAGTGGTTGCCCCTGGGGGGAAAGTCAAAAGCATCATTTTCCCCACCTTTGTCCTTGTCTGCTTTGTAGTTCTTTCGTGTCGTGCGTAACGTGGATAGCTGTGTTCTGCCTAAGCTGCTCCTTCGTTCAAGATGCCTTTGGTTCTGTTTAAATACAGGAGTCTATTTCTCTATAGGATTCTAGCAAGAGTCCAAAAACAATGAAGAAGTTTCTTCCAAAAAGGAAAACTGAGAGAAAAGCTTCTGATGAAGAGTTTGTTATTAGGAAAAGTAAGTGTTGAATTTTTCTGTTCTTTTCTGAGGTTTCTGTTTGCTCAGTAGCTTCCACAGGGCTCTGAGAGCCTCCCTTCTTGCAGTAAATGCTGAGACACGTGAGCAGGTCCACAGGCTGCTGCTCACGGGAGGTGTTTGGAAGTGGCTACAGAGCATTCTGGAGTCAGGGAACCACTTCCAAGCTGTTAAAAGCTGCATTAAAAGCACATCAGCAAACAGTCATGGAAGGGCATCCTGGAGAGCATAGAACTCATCACAGAGAGCAAGATGCGAGTGGGGACAAGCTCTCATCTGTCCATGCCGTCAGGTCCTGCATCGGTGTTGCTAGGGGACCAGGGAACAGAAAAGGGCCTAGCCATGCAGGGGTGCTCGCCTGCAAAGAAAGTCATCCCGACACCTCCCTGGAGCCTGTTTTGGGAAACTTCTGGTGGGTTTCATGTGAAAGGCCTTGGTCACTTTGTGAGCCGCTGCGGTACAAACCTGGAGGTCAGTTGTCTCACTCAAGAAGTCAGTACTGATGCAGTTTGAAGTGAGGGCTTCCCATGTCCCAGTCCTGCTCTGCCGCGCTGTAGCAGGTCTCCTGGGTGCACGTTTCCTCTGGGACCCCCGGCCAGGAGGGCTGCTCTGCCTACCTGCCCCGCATTGCTCCCCTCAGCCAAAGCCACCCCGACGCTTGCTAAGACAAGCAGCTGGTGGAGTGTTTTCCCACCCTTCAGTCATGGTGTGCAACGCCACAGGACAGCACAGAGGCAGAAAACGTAAGGAAGCTGCAAAAAGAATTGGGCAGATTTGCAGAGACGGTGTCAGCAGGGCAGCGACACACTCATCACTTTAGGGGTTTGGAACCAGGGCTGAGGGGCATGAAGCAGAGCAGTTTGCTTTTAGTGACAGCTGCTGCCCGCGTTGCTTTACAGGTACCGCTGCGCTGGAGGAGGATGCTCAGATCCTGAAGGTGATCGAGGCGTACTGCACCGGGGCCGGCTTCCAGCAGGCGCTCAGCTCAGGTGGGCGCACAACCACATTATTTAATATTTCTGCTCCGTCTGCCGCGGTGATAACCCCTCTGGGAAAAAACAGATGATTGCATCATACAGCAATCAGGCTTCTGCTAGGAAACTGTGTGGTGTTCAATCTTCAAGATAAGGAAGCTTCGCCTGCCTAGTGGTTTATTCGCCATTGTTTTTCTTCTAAACACAGAGAATGAGTAAGTAGGAGGGTAGATGAGACACAGCTACTTGAGCGGCACTTGTTAGGAATTAAACAAACCTAGTCAGTGCCTGTGGCTGTCAGCATGAAAACCTGATGGTAATCTCAGGTTGCATATAGCTTTAGAAAGGAAACATGAATATTATCTCTCAATCAGCCGCGTATTTAAGAACAAGCAGCTTCATAAGAACCCAACTATCTAACATCTTAAACTCTGGAAATAAAACTATTTATCACCACTGGTGAGATGTCAAATTAAATCAGTGAAATAGCAAATGATGGTGCATTTGAAGATGGGGAGCTGAGTTTCTTCCAAGGGCTCTTGACCCCACTCAAATAACTTCATTTATAACTAATGACGTTGCTTTAGGTGCACTGAGTGTTCTTGCAACCGTTGCACTTGCTGCTGTGGCTGCAGGTCTGTTCTGGTATTAGCAGCCGTTCCCTGGCTCCGTCCTCGCTGTATTTGCTGGGCTCGTGCAAAAAGCTGCCGGGGCTGCTAGTGCAGGGCGCCGTGCGCGGCAGGGAGAGCCTCCGTGCCTCGTCCTCATGGGTCGTTCTTGCACCCAGGCTCCCGCAAAGACTCCATCCCCCAAGTGCTTCTTCCCGAGGAAGAGAAGATCATCATAGAGGAGACGAGAAGCAACGGTCAGACTGTCACGGAGGAAAAGTAAGCGAGGCTGCTCTCCCCCCGCAGACTCCCTTGCTGCTTTTGGGAAGGATGTTAAGAACTAAGTTCTGGGGGATTTCTTGTTTTTGTAGGAGCCTTGTTGACACGGTTTATGCACTGAAAGATGAAGTCAAAGAACTGAAGCAGGTAATCCGAGTGGTTTTGTTTGTGCTGTGGAGAGACCCAAAGCCAGCCAGACCAGCACCTCGGTGCTCGGGGATGTCACGTTTGGCCAGGGCTGACGAGAGACCCTGCAGATTGCAGAGACGATCCCGTTGCTTGCGTTGGGAGCTGCATGGGGACGTGGCCACCGTGCTGCTTGGGTAGCGTGTCCATGCAGGAGCCAAAATTCTCCTTCCCCTCCGACTATTCTTTTTTTGGCAGCAATATGGTAGATGGCAGGTTCTTGGGGGCTTGGGGAAAGCCTTCTCTCCAGCAGTGCCCTCAAACCCAGGTTTGGAGTAAGGTTTGCAGGAGAGTGTTTCTAGCGCTGTGAAGTCGCTCGGGTTTTGTGCAGGTCTCCGGTGGTGAGGCTCTGCCTGGGCCTGGCCGACTGCAGGTGAGCTGTGGTTTTTGTCCTTGCCATTAACCCTTTGTATTTGGTCACTTCCAAGCCACAGGCAGGCAGACATGAAGTACATCGTAGCATAAAGTGCGCGGGCATTAGTGCTGTGTCTTTATTCCTTTATTTTTCTCCTGACAGGAGAACAAAAGGATGAAGCAGTGTTTGGAGGAAGAGCTTAAATCGAGGAAAGATTTGGAGAAGCTGGTTAGGAGGCTGCTGAAGCAGACGGACGAGTGCGCCAGGGAGGACACGGGCCGCAAGTCGTCTCTCATAGCCTGAAGCTGGGAGAAGCTGCTGGCAGTGGTGTGTGACCTCAGGTGTTTTTCGGGAAGTAGAACTGGATCCTTTGCCTCTTTTTGCTCCTCATTTTGTTGGTTTTGGGGACTTCGTTACCAAAAAATAAGTCAGAGAGGAAACAATTTTTTTTTTTTTCATCCTATCAGGAAATAAAACAAACACAGAACCAATCACAGGTAAAGCGGTAAGCGAGCGGTCCACGGTTCACAATTCATCTGCAGCAACTAATACCTCATCGTACCTGCTACTGGGAGCAAATGCAAGCTCTGCCAATCATCGCCGCTCAGAAAGGGTCTGGCAGTATTTCCCAGAGAGGAAGTGTAAGCACTTTTTAATGCTTTTGTTCTTTTTAAAAGCTCCGGTACCTATTTATTGAATGAAAATGTTATTGAGTTGGCATCGAGCAGAAACCAAAAAGCACCATGCTCCTCTGCGCAGATAATCACGACTGGGGAAGCTTTTCCCATCCGCTTTCTTTCTCCCCGTTAGTTGCCTGTAGCGAACTCGCCCCAGCAATACTGTGCTTCCCGGGTGGCCTTGGTGCTGGCGCAAACGCGCCGTTTCCGCACAGCCATTTCCAGTCCTTGGGGAAGGCAGATGTGGAGCACCCATGCAAGCACAGGGCAAGGGGTGTTGCACAGTACTGCCTCCGAACAGCTCACGATTAGCACATCAGGTACCTGCTCTTCTGCCCCCAGGACCTTGTCTGCATGATGTGTAACTCCTGCACCCTGCTGCATTTTCACTCTGAGTGTCCCGGTATTGTATGAGTTGGTAGTTTTGCAGTGCTCCCCCTTGCAATACCTGCTTTCCTCCGTATGAAATGCAAACTCTGCTTGACAAAATCAAATCCACCCGTGCTGCTTCTCTGCTCCCGACGGCCACTTCTCTCCCATTGCCCCAAAGGGGCTTGTTCTAGGAAAAGGGAACTTTCTCCCGGGATAGGGAAGGTATTTCTGTTTCTGTTGGGACGTTTCTGCGGCAAGGACGTGTGACACCCCTCCGGATCCCTGCACAGCTCCTCAAGCACAGCACACAGACAACATGCCTACGTATCAGCTATCCTCATCTTGTTTGGTGTTATACCCTAGTTTATAACGGGTGTTTTCCTTTCCTCTTAGCAGCATTATAAAAGTAATATTCTATTAATGATAGATCTTATGAATATGAGAGGGCAGCGTGGTCCTAGGGAATGCAGACACACCACAGCTCGTTACACAGACCAGTATATGCTTCATGAAGGATAAAATAGAGGCAATAGCTGCACACTCCCTCCTTGCGATTCAAATTCAGCCGAACACAGCAAACGGTGCCCGGGGAGAGCTGAGCTCCAGAAGCATCACAAGGAATTTAAACTGCATCCCCTTTGAATTCTAAGCTGTTTTGGGGGTGAAAGGGGATTTTTTTCTGCTCTGGCCACACTTGTCATCCCTGGAGCATCGCAGCTGGGTGGCAGCTCTCTGCGTCCCCACCTGGGCACACGCTGGACATGTGTTGGGACAGCAGCCAGAGCTACCGTGCGGGTTAACCCTGTGCTGGCTGGTGTCGCTCTGCTGCTCGCGCTGGGCTGCCCGAGTCGGGCTGTGGTGCCGTTCTGGGGTGCTTTACCCAGACACCCTGTTAACGAGGCCGAGCCTCCTGGCATCGCCAGGCAAATCCCGGCTCAGGAGCGTTCCCGGGAAAGGCGAGAGAGGCCGTCCCCGGGTGAACCGAGAGCTGTGCTAGGTGCAGGTGTAGGATGTAACGCGATGGAGGGCACACTGGGACACGTTGGATCAAGCGTTTGTCAAGAGCTAGAAGCCAAAAAAAAGACAAGAAAAAAATAAAAAATAAAGGAAAAGAAGCCATGCCGGATGGACAGCAATGTTTCCATATTTACTTTGTTTACAGCGCTTTGTAAATATGTTCCAGTGAGTCTGTCTTTAGCTGGATGTTGTCAGCTGCCTTCCAGTTTATCTTGGTCATGTAGGTTTATTTACTGTTACTACTTATGCAAGGTCAACTTTTCTAACATGTTTTTATTTTGAACAGTTTTTTAATTGACATTTTCAACAAATAAAGAAGGATAAAACTTGCTTCTTAGCCGGCCGTGCCGCTTCCTTTATTTCCGAGCCCCATTTTCCTTGCCCGCGAGGATGCGGCAGCGGCAGGAGCAGCTCCGTGCTGCTCACGCTCCCTGGACGTAAATCACTTCCTGCTGCTTGAGGGATTTTTTTTTAATTTTCTTTATAGTTCATGCACATTTTTGGGGAGGGGGGTTAGGTGTAGTAACAGGATTTCCTTTGGTCTACGCCTTGGACAAGACCTCTCCTGCACTCTGCTCTCTTTGGAGTTGTTGGGTAGCACTGTGCTCGCTGCCGGCCCCCAAAGTGCGGCTAAGGATGAGGGGGAGGCTGAAGGCAGCTGCACTTCCCTACGGCAGGTAGGAGGGGAGCCAAATCCTCCCTGCGGGGCCTGATGCAGGACCAAGCAATAATGCAGCAGCATTATATATATGTATATATACACACACACACACCGCATACATGTTATGTGTGTTTAACATATACATACATGTGTATATATTGCATATATGCACATATATGTAATATGTATGTATATATAATATGTATGTATATACACGTAATATCTGTATCTATACCATGCACTAGCATCCTGTGAGCAGTGGGGTTTGGCGCAGCCCGGGTGCCCCTTGGCGGGGAGCAGAGCCAGCCCAGGGGAACAAGCGGGTCGCAGAGAGCGGCAGGGCCGGGCCGGGGAGCCCTGCGGGGACCGCGGAGCTCCACAGCACCCAGAGGAGGGCTCAGCGCCCACGTCCTTGCCTGGCCACGTTCCGTGGCCTCCTGCGGCTTTCTAGGAATGACCGAGGAGCAGGGAGCCCCCGGCCGGCTGCCGGGGAGAGGGAGTGAAGAGGGAGCCCTGGATCAGTGCTTGGAACGGAGCGGCCGCCCCGCGGGAAGAGGAAGAAGTCGTCGTACGGGTGACCTGTGAGTTTTCCGAGGGCTTCGGTAAGCATGAGGCCGCGAGCAGGGGCCGGGCAGGAAAACAAAAGTTGCTCGGGAGAAAGCGGCTGCCTGCGGGGAAGCTCGCAGCCTGCTGGGGATTTTCCCCTGGGTGTTCTCAAGGCCGCGCACGGGCAACGTTTTCCCTTTGCCCATGACTAAGAGCAGTTGGGCTCCCGCGGGTTTCCTGCACCTGAGAGGCACCGCGCCCGCACGTCCCTCCGCTCTGCGCCCCGCTGCTCCCACCCCGCTGCTTCCCTCTCTCCCCCGGCGCTTCCCCCGCGCAGCCCTGATGCTGCCCTGGGCGCTCCTGCACCCCCTGCGCACCCCTGGCCCCCCGCACACCCTGCACGGCAGCCCTGGCCGATGCTGCCCACAGGCCGCCCCGTCCTTCCCAGCGAGTCCCACGCACGGGCGCTGCATTAGGAGCCGGCCCCAGCCTGGCTCCGAGCAAACCCTAGGGATTATGCGAATCTGAGAGCACTCCCACCTGCAGGGCTGATGAGGGACAAGATTATTTCCAGATTTTGTGCTCAGATAAGCAGTGACCACTTCAACCTCATACCCCTTGGCCTCTTTAGGTGAAAAAGCGAGTGCTGCATCAACATCCTCGAGCTCTGCTGTGGCACAGGGCGTCCTCTCCCGCCGCTGAGCTCAGGGAGGGAGGGCAGGGAGCACCCAGGACAGAGCTGTGCAGCGCTGCTCTCCTGGAGCTCCAGGGACCCCACACGGACGCGTCCTCGCTGCCAGAAGCTGCTCTGCTCACACTGCTTGGGGCACTAAGAGCAGAGCTCCTGACCCAAACCAGGGCTTTCTTGTTCCTCCAGCCCCAGAAGAGGGCCAGGTTCGATGGTTGTGGCCCATGCCCCTCCACAGGGCAGTGACATGACTGCAGGCAGAGGGTCCTTTCCCTGCAGCCGTGGGAGGAGGAGGTCTCGGCAGCCCCGCAAAGCTCTGCTCCGACCCCCCTCACCCCTCGGCCAGGCCAGGCCAACTGCAGCCAAGGCAGCGCCGCGCGTGGCAAGGAGGCTGCTGAGCTCTGCCGAGAGGAACGGGCGGAAAAAAGGGGGTTCTCGAGATCAAGCAGGCAGTTGGGATGGCAACGATGCATCACCGGCCGTTACCACGGAAGGACAGCGTTTTGCTGATTGATTCCTCTAGAGGAAACGTTCCTAAGCCTTTTAATGTTTTTCCGTTGCAGTTTTGCAAGCAGATTGATACAGGAGATATGTGCAGCTCGAAGCTAACTCAACTGCAGCACTCTAAGATGTTCTATGTTTTGAGGAAATAAACCCTTATGGGAGGGTTTGCTAAAGAGCACTTGTGATGCAACTGGGACATCCACCCTGCCCATGGCAGGGAGGACTCGGGCGCTTGATGCCAGCGCCTACAAACCAGCGGCAAGGAAAAAAGGCAAGTGCAAACACTGACACTGTCAAACTTGGTTCTGTTTCTGTTCGGGGGCCCCCAGGCCCTCATTAATAAATAACACAATATACAAATTAAGAAACAAGGCAATAAAGATGCAGAGGAATATAAATAGGGGAAAGAGGGAGAGGCCCTTGGCTCTGCCAAGGCAGCTGGGCCTCCCCGCTACAGCTTGAACATGCCGAAGTAGGTGCTGCCGTGGTTGTAGTTGACTTGCGTTGAGTCTGTCACATTCACGAAGACCATGTCGCCCTCGCGCAGTTCGAACACGCCGCCCTCGCGGATGGACTGCAGGTCGCAGTAGGCCTGCGACGTGCTGTGTGTGTCCAGGCCTTTCAAGAGGAGCCGGTCGGCCTCGTTGGGGAGGTACAAATAAATATAGAGGGTGAAGGGGGCCGAAGTCGTGGCCTTGGTGCAGAAGCTGACTTGGGAGTAGATGTAGTAGAGCCCCGCTCTCTCCACCTTCAGCTTGCCCTCGTGGTAGGAGATGAGGCTGCTCATGGGCGCGTAGCCTGTTTTCCTCCACTGTAGAACTGTGGAGGGGAAACACAGCAGGTGAGCTGGGAGCCTGGGGGACAGCCCATCCCACCCCACCGCCCGTCACGGGTGCGTGGTTGTGCCTTGTCCCTCCACCCGGCCCCTCCAGCTCCCGCAGAAGGCGGCCCTAGGCCGAGGAAGTGCCAACGCG